CCCTGAGAGCTTGTGGCACTGACTCTTGTTCTGTAACTAGATTTTGCCTTATTTTTAACAGTAACATTTATCATATAAATATTACTATTGATGAATAATTTCAATAGCTTGACAAACATGTTTAATTTAAAATATTTAACTTAAGTTATTATTTTGCATGTGAACTGTAAATGTGCTTCTTAATATTTTTTTTTAGCAAATAACAAATATTTGGTTGTAATACTGGACACAGTTATCTGTCTGCATTGACTATATACTTTTTTCTTTTTGGTGTTTGCTTTATTGTACAGTACAGTACTATCCAACAGAGGCTGATGTGAGAGTATAGTGGTGGCAGTGATTTATGGTGTTGATGGTGGAGATGTTGATGTTTATGGGGATTATGGTAATGGTGCAGATAGAGTGAAGGGTGTGAGGATGGTGCTGGTGAATGATACACTAGTAGTAAGGGTGATAATGGTGGTGGTGTTAGTGGAGAAAATGTTTATAGTACTGTAGTAGACAGACTTTGTAAAGCTTTTAAAGTGGCTTGAGGAAGGATATAAAGGTACATATCCTTTCCTATAAAAACTGAGGCAGAAACATCCCATTGAAAACTAGTAAGAGCAGTGAAGGTATTATTATTAAAGTGTACTGTAGATGTTAATGAAGTCAGTCAGTGATTCATGATGAGGTGTATTGATCTGCCTTAAGGGCCCTGAAGATATACTGGAGTTTGTAATAATTTGTGATTTTTGGTAAGAAAAGTTCCATTTTACTCACATGTGTAACTCCCAACCTCTTGGTAATGGGAACATAGAATACAGTATGAGTGTTGTGTGAAAATATGTGTCTATTTGTTCCATATGTATATAAAGGATGAATGAAGGCTTGCTACATGTACTATTAGTGTACAGTATCTTAAGAGTCGTGTGCTGGCAGTGAACACAGGATATGCAGTCACTTGTATCTTATGTTTATCTGATCTGTTTACACCATTTGACCTTCTACCTTGGGTCTTGGTTTAATGTTTCTCACAGCAGAGGATTATTGTATTTTGCCAAGTATTTCTTCTCTAAAAGTAGTCATGGAAGTGTCTGATGTACATGAGTAGTATTGTGTTAATTATTGATTTAGATATTTTAGTAGGGTTTTTTTCAATTGATGGTTTATTATAGTACTGTAAGACAAATATAATTTTTTTAGCACAGCACCTGGCCTTTTTTTGTCCCCCGTCTTCCCCTTCCCCCTGTCAAGTATTATGCGGACCCAAGTCACTTTCAGTATGACATGCCTTTAACCCCCCCTCACCTTACCATACCAGCCCATTACTACTCTTTATTTTATGTGGTCCATAACTTTCCTCGGCACACATTGATATGCCCGTTTACCTCAGGGGGCACATTAATCCATCCAATAACTTACCTTCTCTTCTCTAGCCACTACGTCCAACCATTTGTCCTCACACCATTTTTAGCCTTGATGTCCTTCCACCCAAACCTAGCCTGTGTGTTCTTTGATCGTTAAATGAATGTAAAAGTTGAGCATTTGCTACGATCACTTGATGAAGCTAGGAATAAACTCGGTAATGTTTGTATCTCCCAGGGGGGTCTCCAGCACCACGACGTACACCCCCCTAGATCCGCTTCTGGAAACTCTGCGTCTGCGGTTACTCAGAGTTATAATGAAGGTGTGTGAGTTGCCCACCACTATTTTCTCACGGTTGGCCCTGTTCTGAAGCTCTCCCATTGGGGTGTTTTTTTTTTTTTTTTACACATCCTAATTCAAGTGTTGTTGTCGAGTTTTCTAGTGGGTCCTCATTGGCTAGATTATATTGTTTGACATAAAGGAGAAAGAGACATTACAAAAAAAAAATAGGGTTTAGCGGGGAAATATTTGATAAGTTAACCCATATATGTTACCAGGTGTATGTACGTCTGGAAGTGTCACTCAATGCTGAAACTCATCTTCAGATCCATGTCAAGGCTTTAATGGTACCTACTGGAGAAGGATCCTAGACATCATACAGAGTTGTCATCTCCCCACCAAAATCTTACTCCTGGTTTTATGTATGGGTGTTATTCATCATTCATAAACATGTACAGTAATTAATTCCATCAGTGTAGTAATTAAGTACACTATCCGACAACCACTACTACTAAGACAACAATTACTTGGAGGGAAGCTTTCAGAATGAGGACATAGAGTACTGCTTGTCTGTCTTCTGCTTGTGCTGCATTGCTGTGACAACGTTTTCACATTCTTGTCGGTTTTATATGTTATGAGTTCATTGTTTAACAACTAATCCATTCATGCATTTTTGTCGTATAATATTCCTTTAAATTTTAAGGTGCATGATATCAATGTATTTTGACAACCTTTAGAGCTTAGCATTGGTATTACGTAATGCAGTACAGTACTCATGAGAATTATTTATATGTTATGAACACCTGCTTCTCTAGGATTAATTTTAATGTGTATGTACTGTGTGTATGTACAGTATGTATGTGTAAGAAGCAATAGTATTAGGAAGTATGATTGTGTACATCTATTATTTTTAACCTGCCAGATAATGTAGTATGGAAACCTTGTGTGGAAATGGAAATAATGGAAATATGGATGACAATGGCTTGAATGGGGGGAGTTAATCCTCTCTTTGTGTTGTAATGAGAGAGGAGAGAACATGTCCCATTCTGTTGGACAAAGTAATAAATGAAAAGTGTGGATCTGGGTGAGTGAGAAGTATTGATGTAGTTGTAGTAGATTAAAAGTTACTGTTTAATTATTGTAAAAAGAAATATAAGAAGGTTGGGGGAAGTTTTTTGATCTGGTGTGGGGGGGGGGTGTTGATGGTTCACTAGAGCACGTGTGTTTGGGTGGTGGGAATTTTAGGTGCATGCTGAGGTGTACAAGATGTTTTTAGAATTACCAGTAGTGTAATGCCTTGTGAATGATGTGAGAATAAGTTTAATACTATCCCCTGGCTTGTGCATTTTTAGGTAGTGATCTTTTAATTGTGTCTTTGACTTGGCTGGCTCACATGTGTGGATATACTACGTACTTTAAAATCTTAACCAACTTAGCAACAACTTATTCTTCCATAGCTTAAAGATCCCCCTCCCCCCCCCAAAAAAAAAAAATAAATAAAATGAATAAATAAATAAATACATAAATAACTAAAATTAGTTACCTTCAATTGCCCCCAAAGAAATGTTACAAATTTTATTGTGGGATTTTGAACTTGTACATTTTATTCTTGTATAATTTTACACTGTTGATGCTTTATCCAGTGTGTGATGATCTCCTGAGCCACAAGAAAATTAACCTTATAATTTAGTGTTAGGGTAAGGTCTAATGCTAGAGCTTAACTATGGAGGGAGATAAAGTATCCTTTGGTGGCTTCATCAGTTGGTTATGGAGGTGAGTTATTACTGTGTACTGTACTGTGTGTCTACAGGTTTGCTGTACAGTATTCCAATTACCTGTACATTATACTGTACAGTATATTGTATGTTTATTTTCTCAGTAAATTAGACTGCTGAAGTAATATTGGAGAGGGGTAAAATATTTGGGCCCGACCAGAGTACTGTAAAAAAAATTTAATTGTACTGTACTGTATAGGTAGAAATTGAGATAATGCCTGTCGCATCTTGTTCTTCTGGTACTGTACTGTACTGTACTGTAATGTACAATATTTGGGATTGCTGTTTTCTTTTTACATTACAACTGTACAGTAATAGGTAATTAAACTAAAATTATAGATTCATATACTGTACTGTACTCTACTAACACAACTGCTTTTAGTCTGAAATGATTGTAGAATGGTGATGATGATGATGGTGGTGCAGGCAAAACAATTAGCCAGGTGTTCATTGAATTTAGTTTGCACTACTCTTTGTGGTCAAGTGAAGTAAGATATTGATCAGATTTATTCCTTGGTTGGTCCAGTCTGTGTTGTACCTATACTGGAGTACAGTAGATGCTTGACCCAGACTGCAGTGTTATGTGAGGCTTATAGGTTTTGTCCTAACTGAATGAAGGATACAAGTGTTGTGTGTGAAATATCGATTGAGATGAAAAGATTTCTGGTTAGCATCAGAATAACTTTTAGATCTTTTGCTATAAGCAGAAGTGCACAGTATTTTTGACTGTAGATATACTCTTGGAATTATTTTATCAGATTAGTAAAGTTCATTGATTGAAGATATAACAGCCATCTGACTACTCATATCATCTTCATGTGATTGTTTATAATATGTCAGTGATATACAGGGTGTTCCGTAAATACCCTTCATAAATCAAGGGGTGTATTCCTGAGACATAAATAAAAATAGATGACAAAATGATCATATTGTCAATTCTCAACAGTTTTGGAGTTACAACTCATGACAGGTTTGGGAGTACAGTAATGTGATGAACCCTATATGGGGTGTAAATGAAGCATCCACTGTTTCTAGTGACGTTTATTAGCAGTAATAATGCCATATGATTTGTATTGGTTTTAACATTTAGAGCAAATGTTCAGAGTTCTGCCCCTCTTGCTCAAGTGACTGACTGTCGCGCACGTTCAAAGACCCCGGGGGGTGTTGCGAATGTTTGTCACACTGTCCTGTACACGGCGCCACATTTCTTTGCGGTTTGGGACCTCTGTAACATACACCTTGCTTTTTATGTGACCCCACACGTAGAAATCAAGGGGATTTATTAACATCCTATATAGGTTTCATCACATTCCTACCAAACCTGTCATGAGCTGTAACTCTAAAACTGTTGAGAATTGACAATATGATCAATTTGTCATTTATCTGTATTTAAGTCTCAGGAATACACCCCTTGATTTATGAAAGGTATTTACAGAACACCCTGTATACTTAATATTGTACCTTCGATGTCTTCTAAAACTCAATCTGTTTTCTGAAGTTTACTATATATTGAAAAAAAAAAGATGGTGTGTGTGAAGCTAGCTGATAAAGAATGTATTTTATGAGTGTCTTGATTTTAATATGATTAATTTTCTCCAGCAGGCTGAGAGTGTAGAAGACGGTGGTGGGGGAGATGGAGGAGGTGGAGATGGTGGTGGGGCGGACGGCACGAGCGTAGAGGAGAAACAAGAAGTCACAACCAACCTGCAGGTGAAGGTTGACGCTCAGGCCTCCCGCACCACCACCCTCAGTGACACCCCCACCGAGACTTCCACCAAGACTACCACCAGCAAGCTGACCAAAACCACTAAGGTCAAGACAATCAAGATCGTCAAGAAGAAAACGACGAGCTCCTTAGTGGCCAATGCCATCTCTGATCTCAGCAACAAGGCCGAAGAACCACGCATGTTAGTTGGAGACTCTCCCAAGAAAGTCTTCATAAAGAGGGGAAGTGATACTCCGCCAAAGAAAATCCCCGGAGCTCCAAAAAAGATAGTTAAGCCCGTTAAGAGTCAAGATTCAGTAGAGGAGCCAGATGAAGCTACCACGGCAGCACCAGCTACAAAAAAAACAGAAGCCATTGATCCTAAGGGCCCACCCAATGCTGAAAGTTCCAGTGAAACAAAAGATGTCAATAATGTTAAAGATTCTGTATTGGTTGAAAATTCTGTGAAAAACAAGGAGTCTGCAGAAGTGAAGGAACCAGTTGAAAGTACAAATTGTGCTGAAACTAAAGCATCTTGGAAGATTAAATCCTCCAATAAAGCTAAAAACTCAACTGAAATTAAGGTCTCCATTGAAAGTAATGACACAGTCAACACAAAGGAGGCAGCCCAGTCCCAAGAATCAGTTGAGACTGAAGCAGTCAAACCAGAAGAACCTGCTGAAGTAAATGAATCTGTGTCAACTAAAGTCTCAGTTAAACCTAGTGATTCAGTCAGGCCTAAAGACTCTACTGTAACTAATGGTCCAGTCACACCTAAAGATCAGGTTGAAAAGGATGCTTCAGTCAAATCTAAAGATCCGCCAAAAATTAAATTTTCAGTTAAATCTAAAGACCCAGTTCCAGTGGATGAATCAGTCAGATCTAAAGATTCAGTAAAAACAAAATTTTCAGTTAGATCCAAAGATTCCATCAAAACTGACTCACTCAAATCTAAGGATTCAGTTGAAACAGAAGATTCAGTCAAATCTAAAGATTTGGTAAAAACAAAGGTTTCAGTCAGACCTAAAGACTCGGTTAAAACCAATGAATCAGTCAAATCTGAAGACTCGGTTAAAATTGATGAATCAGTCAGACCTAAAGACTCTTTTAAAACTGATGAATCAGTCAGACCTAAAGACTCATTTAAAACTGATGAATCAGTCAAATCTAAAGACTCGGTTAAAATTGATGAATCAGTCAGACCTAAAGACTCTGTTAAAACTGATGAATCAGTCAAACCTGCTAATGAAAGTGATTCAGTCAAGCCTGAAGACTCCCCTGAAACAAGTGACTCAACAAAAGCAGAAGACTCTGTCCGAGCCAAGGGATCGATCACAACAAAAGATTCCACCAAAAGTAATGATGCCATACAAATGTCATCATCAAATGAGTCTGTAAGTTCAACAAAGGCCAAATCAACGAAACCCAAAAAATCTACAAAGGTTGTAAGCTCAGCAAAAACCACGGACTCTTCAAATACTGAAGAGTCTTCAAAAGAGACAGCTTCCTCAGAAACCAGCGAGTGTTCAAAGACTGTAGAAAGTGAAAAGGTTGATGATTTGTCTGTCACAAGTGATGTTGCTGATGATGTAGACTCTGACAAAGCAATCGAAAATAGTGATTCTGTAGATAAAGATATAGTGAATGATATCTCTAGTTCAGGTGAAGAAACAAGCTTGGCCACCGCAAGTAACGAAAAAGTCAAATGTCCCGATGCTGATTCTCTGTTAGACTCAGAACTGGATAATGTGAGTGTGTTTGTAATTGTCCGTGACATGAGTGGCCTCACTGCCACTGTAAATAAGGTGACAATAGTTACCCCAGCAACATCTACATGCGGTGAATTGATGCAGGAGGTGGGCCGCCGTTTCAAGTATGAACACGACTCATTCTCTTTGGTACTGCAGTGTTCCGATGGTGATCAGGTAAGGGTAAACATGATTAGTTAATTTAGTATAAAGTATCCTGGGTTTTATAGCATGCACAGTGTAACCGCCTTAGTTAAGGACGGTCGGGTGACAGGCAAGTCAAACGGAATGATTGAAACCCGCCTTTTGACACTCGGTATTTATTGATATAGTCAAAAACCTGCAGAGAACAAGGCGTTCATTAGTATTACATGGTGATCCATCTGATACATAATTTGTTAGTCTCACACAATTTTATCTTGACTACATAAGGTCATTAAACAGTGACATAATACAAAGTACATCACATTATTACGAGCATAATTAGTCCACAATATTTCAGTACTGAGGGGTACGTCATCACGTAGACTGTACTTACAAGTGCGGGTCGATGTAAATCAGTATGGTGTTCCAAGAGACAACAGAACTGTTTAAATTGTCTTAGCACAAAACTCCAGGACAGGATTGTGAGTTGGTGTGTTCACTACACTTGGTGGGTGGGATGATACTGTGTGCCAGAGGTGTTCCGAGCCCCTATCCATGGTCATAATAACAAAACTCTTGTTCTATGGCTGAGACGTTTACAAACATCTGGCAAGGTTGCACGATCACATGGGAGTCACAACACCTCTACAGTCTACAAGGAAGGTCGCGGAGTACTTGGTCGTAAGCTGAGAGATTTATGGGTTTGTTTGGTTAAGGTGATGCTTGTAGACGGCATATCAGTTGAGGTGCTGGGAAGCACTCAGTGCTGAGTGGAGGTGCTGAAGGTAGCAAAAGCCAGCAGCGATAACACATAGTTTGTCTGTTCTTGAAAATTGATATAGGAAACTAGCAGTGAGAGACAATACTATGTACAAAGTATATAGTATTGGAGGTAAATCTGCTGTGGTAGAATAGATCTTTCCAGGACTTATCATACAGTTTTCTTATGATACAGATAATATAACTACAGTATTTGGTACAGTACTAGGTAGTGAATACAAATCATGTGCTTGTCTTTGTAAATATTAAGATATATTGTCCACAGCTGCCATTCTCCAAACTGGTCCTTTTGAAATGTGTTTCCTTCTGGTGAGGAAAAGCATCAGGCTTCCTGTCTTACTTAATTCCATTCTTGCCTTAGAACAGCCATGTACGATCAATATTGACTCACTTGCTTACAGGCAATGTATCAGCAGGAGATGGCAAGTTCTGCCTTGTCAGAACAAAGCCTTGGACATTAAACAAACTCCAAAAGCCTTAAGAATGAGGAGCTTAAGTTTAGAACTGGACCTTGGAATATGAAAATTAGAAAGTATGAAGATTTGGGAAGGGAGATAGAAACTGTGTACTGCAGTGGGACAATATTATTAGGAGTATGTGCAGTGAAATACATGTGCAAATACCATGATTGGAGAAGAACATCAATTTTAATCAGGTGGTGAAAATCACAAGAGATGTGTAGGTATTCTTGTACAGCATTAATTGGGCTCATGTGTAAAGAGATATTACAAGGATGAGCTTTAGGAAAGTTTATGGAGATTTAAAGGAGAGAGAGTAAGTTGTGAAGTTCAATGAAGATTTTTAATAGTAATCAGTGATTTTAATGGAAAGATATAGAGAGAGAAAAACAACAGAAAGTTATATTAATATAGCAGTGGAAGTGAAGTTTATAAAGAACCCTTAAAGAAATTAGTCCATTGGTTATGTTCAGACCTATTTAAGAATGTTATTATGTATACTGTTTGCATGTGTAAATAAACTCACATTTAAGAACTTAACAATAATTAGCTATACTGTAGAAGGAATTTGAATAACAGTATAAACAGTAATTTTTGTACGTAACTCAAATTACCAACTTGTTAATGATAATATTATGACATGCAGACTGTGTCACACCTCAGCTTTAAGAAGAAGGAAGTGATATTATCTTTTAAAACTGAAAGTTCTCCTAATTTACAGGTAGAAGTGGACAAGATGGAGGCAGAACGTACTTTGGCCGATGCCAGATTTCAAGTGGAGGGCACCCCACGCAACAACCTCATACTGTGTGACCTTGGTGGCCATCCCCCTCGACGGACAGATGAGGATGACCTTAGCCTTGGTGCCTCGGCATCTCCCACGGCCAACAGTACTGACAGAAAATGGTTTGACCGAAGTAACAATTATGACAACTCGACAGAATATTCCTATCCTTCTGCATTAATTAAGCATGAAACAGGTAAAAACTATTTCCTCAGCCTCATATTTACACATTTTCAGGTCTTTTATTTCTTACTGGTATATATGTGCTGTTTTGTGTTAATAGTAAAGTGCCAGACACACATCCTCATACATCAGTCAGATCATCTTGTGTATCTATGGTTAATATACCCATTGTGTCGGTTCAGACCACAATCTGCAGCCAAAGATTTCAAAAATACTAAAAACTACAAAATCTACATCGCTTAGGCCCAAGGGTTATTATGTTCCACTATTTTCTGACTTGCATACACAAGAGTAAATGAGAATTCCCAGGATCTTGAAATGAATTTCTTACTCAGGAATATACTTTACAGCACATTTTATATTCTGTTGCTCTCAGAGGTTTTTTATCCTCTTGATCTTATTGCTTTTTTCTTAACTTTTATTGTTTTTCTCATATTATTTTATTTGTTTTCATATTCTTTCTCCTAATCTTGTATAGAAATACTATGATTTTCATAAAATTTTCGTTTTTTTTTTTTTTGGAGCACCAGGACCCAGTAGTCAGACCATTTGGGTGTAAACTCTATGGATGTTGTGAGCCACATTTCACTAGTCTATAAACGTCTCAACAATTTGTGCTGAACATGATTGATATTAAGAGATATGTAGAAGAGCTCGGCCTTTGTGTTCCTTAATGTACTGGAAGCAAAGTCAGTTGGGTTATAGATTTAATTATATCTGCACCACAATTCAGCTGGACTTCAAAGCCAAGACATGTGAGTTAGCCCTCATGAATGACCTCTCAGAGTTGGTACGGTGTTATTTGTTTTAGTGGGCACTGAGCCAGTCACTTGTCATATATGGCTCCCTGACACATGGGTTTACCCACCCTTAAAGACTTTCAGAGATGTAGATGATGATGGCTCTACAAACTTTATAGATACGTACACATTAACCCCTTCACTATGGTGAGGCTACTTTTAATATTTTATTTGGCTAACGACAGATGATTTTATTCAGCAGAGGAGACCCTGTACAGGAATAGTTAATGTAAAATAGAGTGTTGTATGGTATATATGCTTTGATTTTACTTCTGTACGGTACTTCAGTGATTAAGAATAGTTATTAAAAATGTCTGAATTTTTATATGGGGATGAGGTTGGTTAACTGCACTTTACTGTACTATACATAATAGCATATAATCCAAGAACTGCCTCTTTTATTATCTAATCTAAGCCAGGTCTCATGGGGTTTGATAGCAAGATAATAAAGCTGATTTGGTACATGTATTTTTAATAGTACTACCTTGTATTGTCTGTGTATACTTCAGGTTATGTGGGACTGGTGAACCAGGCGATGACGTGTTACTTGAACAGCCTCCTGCAGACACTCTACATGACGCCAGAGTTCCGCAATGCTCTCTACCAGTGGGAGTTTAAAGGCTCTGAGGAGGAAGCATCCAAAAATATACCATGTCAGATACAAAGACTCTTCCTTCTCCTACAGGTAAGATTGTGTTGGTTCACAGTCACTATCAAAGAAATCTTACAGGAATGAAGGTATAGTGACTATAGGAGGTTCTCTGTTAACAGCCCAGAGTGGAATCACAGTTCTGTGGAATTTTCAGTTCCTCATAGACTGTCCTTTGTCCAGTTTAACCACACACACACACCCCATTTTTCACGTTTGGCACTTGACATTTCCTTTCAGCACTGTTAAATTTTTGGTAGCCTTTTCCTATTATGCTAGTAGATGACCAAGATATAAAGTAAGCAAAATATTAGAAGGCATAGCATTTTTTGCCTTTGACACACATATTTATAATTAACATATCCACCCAGACAACTAACAAGAGTGCTGTAGAGACAACCAACCTCACCAAGAGTTTTGGATGGGACAGCAGTGAAGCGTGGCAGCAACACGACATTCAAGAGCTGTGTAGAGTGATGTTTGACGCCCTTGAACAGTGCTTCAAAAACACCCATCAGTCCGATCTCATCAATAATCTTTATGAAGGTTAACATTTTATCTTGTTACTTTATGACCTAATATCATCCTTAAGTAATTCACAAGTTATTACATTACATTCATCATCTGAGAGTTTGACAAATAGCAGTGTTTCATGAAGCTGAATAGATCTAGTGATTATCTTTTCATATAATTATTATAAAATTGATTAGAGTATTCTGCCAGGTATTGCTTACTACCACTAAACACTTCTAAGGGAAGCAAATTTTATATATGAAACATTGGTTACAAAGAGATGCTGAAGAACCTCAAGAATAAAAGGCTTTTTGAAGTTGTTATTTTGTACCTCTGTATGTGATTTCATGAGAAATTATATTTACTGTATATAAGTTTATCAGTTTAGCCAGGCATGGGAAGAAATTAGTTGGATTATTACTGGTTGCATGATGCACCACACGTTGTGTTAAATGAATATTAACTCTGAACTATAAACAGTAAATTTCTTGCCTGTGTTGGTTATAGGATTTTAAATTACAGGATTTTGTAACATTCTTGATTGTTAGAGGTTAATTGATATGAGAATATTAAGGACTTTAGGAGTGGATGATTACAAGACATGATTATTACATTTCTAGGAAAGATGAAGGACTATGTGAAGTGCCTTCAGTGTTGTACCGAGGGAGCAAGAGAAGATACCTATTTAGATATTCCTCTTCCTATTAGACCATTTGGCTCCAGCACAGCCTACAAGAGTGTGGTAAGTTATTCACGACATATTACAGTGTTTTACCAGCACGTAAAAAGTTAATTACACATCTGTAAATGTGACAAAGTGGAGTGGTTGTCCCTATCTAGAAGGTTAAAAGAAGTTAGTGATCTCCTGAGTGATAACATATTTTGCATTTCTCTGCAGGAAGAAGCTCTGAAGGCATTTGTGGAGCCTGAGCTGCTCACTGGGAACAACAAATATAAATGCTCAAAGTGTGATTCTCTGTGTGACGCTCATAAAGGTCTCAAGTTTACCCGTTTCCCGTACCTGCTTACCATACACCTCATGCGGTTTGACTTTGACTACCAGACACTACACAGAATAAAACTCAATGACAAGTAAGTCTTTCCTTTTGGTGTACATTGTGAAATATATTACTCATCAATTACTGTACTGTATTTTGGTCTACAAGTATCATTTCTTGTATACTGTATATCTTTTAAATATCATATTCCTGCAGAAAAAGTTGTCGTTATTATCATCATAGCCAGTGTCAGTTTATTCATGTTATACAGAACTGCATACATATGATCTTGCTTTATGACCCCCTAGTTACCTCACCCATAGCTTTCTAGTTTTTATCTTTTGTGTTTAATAGATTAACATTTGTAGTTATTAATACACAGATCATTTCTCTTTTCATTAGAGTCACATTCCCAAACATCTTGGACTTAAATTGCTTCGTTGAGAATCCCAGTAAAGAGGATGGAGCTGCATCTGCTGCTGCTGCTGTTACCCCAGACAAACCCTCAACAGATAAGGTTGACGATGCTTCCACCACAGACTCTGGTTCGGCTCTTGACGTAGAAGACAGTTCTGTTGAAAATACTTCAAATTCCCAGCCAGAATCTGACAATCAGGTACAGTAATGCAATTTAACATTAGTTTTCTGTATGACATTTAAGCGTAGGTCATTGACTTGGAACTACGTACAATATTTTAATGCTGATTATTATTTGTATGAGGAATATTGTTGTTTAATTAAATCTGAAAGGTTTTATTATGACATTTATTGATTACTCCACTTTCAAAATAATAATATATAATACAGTATTAGAGGAAATATAAACTTATACAGATTATTAATGAGAGTTTGATGTGTGTTGAACCCCAGGATGAAGATGAGGGCATAGATGTAAGTAGTATGTACAATGAGAAAAACAAGACCTGGCTAACAAATGGCCCTTACGTCTATGAGCTCTTCTCTATCATGATCCATTCGGGCAGTGCCTCGGGTGGCCATTATTACGCTTACATAAAGGACTTTGCGACAGGGGAGTGGTTCTGCTTCAATGACCAGAGTGTAACCAAGGTAAGGTGAAGAAACATTACAAGTTTGGGGAAAATAGTCAACATTGTACCTCAAGTGTTGCTTTAGGGCATTGTACAGTAGTTTGTGAAGGAAATCATAATAAACATGGTTAAAGTTGTGTATAAACTGTCATTCCTGTATACCTTTTGTGAAGTCATGCCATGAAATACCTCACTCAAGGAACAAAGTGCAACAGGGTATTATCTTAATTCTTGTGAAATATAAAGGTTTACATCACAAGGAACAAAAGCAAACATAATTTATCATAGGGATCATTCAGTACTTGGTATCTAGAAACAAAAAGGTTGATAGGAAAGGAAGGATGGGCACAACTATACAGACCACAAGATAGAAGATGTGGATATTCATTTTAATAATTTTCTTGATTTTTTTCTTCAGATAACATATGATGACATCAGGAAGACATATGGTGGCAACACGTCAAGAAGCGGCTACTACAGCTGGAGCTCAAGTGCTAATGCTTACATGCTCATGTACAGACAGATTACTAAAGACAGAAATGTTGATGCCTTTACCAGGGAGCATCTCCCACAACATATCAAGGTGAGTTAATCATTGTTGTTCTCATATCTTCCCCCAGCAGCCCACCATCCACTCTAACCATACAGTGTTCAACTATTTTTTTTTTTTTTTCTGAAGATGTTTATAAATTTCAATGTCCTATCGACATGATGTGTAACCTGCTCAGGTTTCAGTGAGCCATAAGTACCTACAGCAGTACTGTATCATAGAAGGTTACATACAGATTTTAGTGCAACCGTAAAGCTGGCTATAATTTTGTTCTGGTACTTTTGCCCAAGATGCAGTGGTAATTTCTTTTAAGTAAGTCTTCAAGGCCTTTTATATTTTCTTCTTAAGTTATTAACATATAAATATTATAGTTGTGATGATTTTCTATATTCTAGAGGGTTAATAAGAATGGCAGTTACCTTTTTTTAAGAATAATAAATATGTAGGTAAACACAGAGATACCAGTACCTCTATAGTGCTCCTGAATCTTCCATTAATACAAATAAGTTCTCTTGCTAATCTCCACTGATGTTAAAAGGAAAGTATATTTACCTGATGACTCTTGAGATGGATAATAAGTAAATAAAGTTTACTGTAGCATTAACAACCAATCTGGTGCACCAGTACCACAGTTCATTTAGAAGGATGAGTAGTGCCCAAGTATATTCCTGTCTCTGTATATATCAGATACATAATGCTTTTTAGTTGATGTCCTTGTGTAAATTTGGTGTATGGTTTGTGCCACAGGACTTAGTACAAAGGATGACAGAGGAGGAAGCAGCAGAAAGAGAACAGAGGGAGCTCGAACGGTGTACGTGTCGCATCAAACTCTTCTGCCAGACTCCAGGCCAGAGTCAGATGGTGGAGAAGAAACTCAGAGTTCACAAGGACTCAACACTCAGGGAAACCACCAAATTGGCCCACAAGGTAAATTGAAGAAGCCATTAATGATATGCTTAGTATTATGAATTTTGATAAACTCAGTGAAAGTGGATGTATAATGGTGTGGAATTATTGTCCAGGTGTTTGTAAGCCTTTCTTTTTGCTGAACAAACTTTTGAATGGATACAGTTAGTTTGACAAAAGTAATGAAAATACAGTAAGTAGAGAAGGGAGACAGGGAGAAATAAATGCTAATATGAATGAATACAGAGTGAAGGAAGTGAGAGGTGGATATGTCAGTACAGTACAGACGCTCCCTTGGTTACGGATGGGTTCTGTTCCTGGAGGTTATCCGTAATCTGAATTGTCCGTAAGCCAGATGTGACCCATCCAAAGGTCATCATTGAACATGTATAGTACATATAGTTTATATACAATTGCTATACAGATTATGAGACCATGTATCCATCATGCTTGGGGCAGGGGGTTGGCAGATAGGGCCTTTTTCTGGAATTTAGAGCGCCAGGCCTAAAATTACAAATTGTACAGTAACCACACTGTAACAAACCGTGAAGACTGTTCAGATCACTAGATTCATCCCTGAAAGTATTTTTAACCACACCATAACATTAAAACTTAAAATTGTTGGCATATAAACATCAATAACAAAAGCATATAAATAGCATTAATGAAACCATAAAGAGGGCAAAAATTATAACAATAGTGTTCAAACTGCATCACAGTTGCCCATGGTGCTTGCCTAACAACACAGTAACGTCCCTAGTACTAGTACTCCTCGCCGCAGACCCTCCGACCTGCACACACACACACTCACTAGCCATACAGCTTATGATGATTATTTTACTGTATTTGTTTTGCACTCTCTGTATGTAGGATTGAGTATGTACAGTATGTAACTAATAAAAAAAATGAAGACAATTACCCAAAATTATAGGTGAAAAACAACCATAACATAAGATGGAGCTCACAGGTGGGGTATGGTTGGAAATGTCCCCACTCAGCCCAGGAATTATTTGGCGCTCATTTTAAATACAAGTAGGACGTATGGGAGAGTATCTGTAAAGTCAGAAATTCGTAACCCGGGGAGTGTCTGCATATTGAACAGTGAAGAATGACCTGAATCACAGAGTAGAGGAGGGAAAGAAAGTAACAAGTCCTTTGTGGAATATATATAGAGAGTGAGAGAGAGCTGTATTAATTGAGGCAAAGAAAGGACACCATTACTAAACTGATGTGAAGGACAGATTTGGAATGAGGAAGTGACACAAATGACATGCTTAAAAACAAAATGTGGAGTGAATAAGATTTAGAGAATAAGAAACAGATAAGCAGGACATGTGGAAGTGAAGGAAGTGTTGGATGGAGAGTAGACCTGAGTTTACACAGTGGTATGAACATACTGAGGGAATGGGAAGTGAAAGATTGATGCCTGTATGTGTTAAAATAAATGTATAGATTGACTGTACTTTGTTCCTTCAACAGGAGTTAGGACTAGAAAATGTTGTTCCTCTGGAGAGATGCCGCCTTGTTAAGTATGAGGAATTCCATGACAGTTTAGAATGTTCCTTTGAGGGTCAAGAGGATGAGCTGATATCAGAAATTCTTGGCGGTGTGCGCAGTTCTTACAAATTTGATCTTCTGATGGAAATTCGAGATGAAGACAAAACATTTGAAGTATATAAACCTGGAGGTGAGTGATTTTTATACTGTTTTCTAAAACATTCTCATGCAGTAATGAGCAGGAAAATAATGTAAATGTCAAACTAGTTTCTTCCTCACTATGAGAAATATTCTTTGGTGCAACAATTGTTTTCTCACTGTTGAGAAGACTGTCACTCCTAAAGAAGACTGACTCCTACCTATGCTGCATTCAGTGGGTCACAAAAATAATTAAATAAACATCACAAAATAGCACCAAGATTTTGTGAATGTGGGGAGAGTAGTTGGATAATGTGACCCCAGTGACCCTGAGGTTTGACTCTATAAGCAAGCACTCGACCTAGACCACAAAATAATATGTGGCATGTTTGGGTAATGATTATCACACACACACACAATAGGTATCGTGTAGACATCAACATCATAATATAAATTTTATGGCCCTTGTCCATGCTTGTTGAAATGTGGGAAGATATTTCCATAGCCATTATTTGGGCATGACTGAGTTTATCAGTCAAGAAAATAATGGGCCACACTACTGTATGGTAAAAATGTGGGGGAGACATTGATATGAAACTCAAGTCTGGCGGCTGGCATGATAATTTAAGAGATTTTCTGCTGGCCCTGTACCCTTACAACTTCATCATCTTCTTCAGTGAATGGGGACACCAGAGCCATACCCAGCAAAGTGTTAATGATATTCTTATTACAACACTGATCAATTAAAACCTTTTCAAATTAAACCAGTTCCATTTGAATGTATTTTCATTAATTCTTTCCCTACCAATTCATGGCAGGTACAACCATAAAGGCCCATGTGGTGAACTTAACAACAGAGGAAGTAGAGGGACCATACAACCTGAGAGGGAGCCTCAACATGACAGTCCGGGAACTGAAGGAACTACTCGGGCGATCCCTGAACCTAAACCCAGACACCATGAGAGTTGTGTTGGAGCGCTACTACAACGATCTGAGACCGCTCACCACAGATACCAAGACTCTCAAGATGGAGGGTTTCTATAGATCAAACAAGGTACATAATGACCTTAGCATGGAATACTCTACTGTCTCTTACTCCTCTTCCATTGCTCAGTCCTTTTCATGTTTTCACGACACTTAAAAAATATATGTGTGCCAGGGAAAGTTAAATCTTTGAACATTTGCTTTGGCAATAGTAGACACCCCTCGAGTCTTGCCAGCTTAGCTATACATTACAGTAGTTTTATCTGTGTATGAGTATTGTTGTTATTATTATTTTGTCATGTAATGGCTGTGCATCAAGTGGTGATCTTTTAAAAGCTGTATGGTAGCTGTTATAATTTTAGGCATACTTGATACATTGGCATAAATATCAAACATCCCAAAGTTATAAAATGTAATGTTACAAAAACAAAATTAACTGTCCATGAATTGAACATTGCTAAGAATTTGAACATCATATACGACCTCCTGCAGGTATATATTGAAGCATCTGGCACTGAGCATAACGAATTTTTCACTGGATCAAGTATGTACAGCATCCTAGACCGCTACGAGAACACCATCACACTTTACTGCCCTCTTCCAGACACAAGCAAAGGTAACCTATACATTTTTATTCTGTTGTTAACTGTGCTCTTCAGCTCTGTTGGTGTTTAAGTATGAACACTATTTAATAAATTATTTATTGTCAGACACATATATTTGGGGACTGCCATTTTTGTTTTTGCAATGTCATACATGATTGTTTATAGATGTTGCTTATAAACTCAAACTTTGTCACAAAAATTTCCTCTTAATATTTGGCAGAGGCCTTAGAAGAACTACAGATTCCGCCCTACAAAGAGGAAGAGGTAGTTTCACCAGCAGGTGAAGGCAGCAGCAGTGGTAGTTGTAATGGCATTACGTCCATGACTTCTGCTGCCTCACCAGCAGACAGTGCTGCCAGTCCTGCCAGCTGCTCCAGCAAAGACAGTGGGGTTAGTGCCTGTACTTCCATCATGTGCCCTCCAGGAACAGTGTTCTATAACCATAACCCATAAGATTTGTTATTCAAACCATGACTCAGTTTGACTTAGCCTGTGTTGGAGGAAGAGTGTCAAGTATATATTGAAAAAATGCATTTAAACCTGGAGAGCTATATAACTGTATAGATGTACGGTAATCCCTGGTTTACACGGATTGTGTGCAGTGCGTCACATTCTTTTGATTCAAAATTTTAAATGCACAACCTCATGTCTTTACTTGTATAGTGGGAGTTGTGGTACACTATAATGTAATTTATAGAAATATGGTGCAGTACGTATAGTAGATTATAGTACTACTTACAAGAGAAAAAAATCATCTCCTTTCAAAGGAGGTGAAAATACAGTTATAAAATTGATTGAGAACTTTTTCTTTTCTGTTTTTTAAACATAAAACTAGCTGTGTTAAATCAGCAGTGTACCCCAGCGTTACCAAGTGACCTGTGTTTACAGTAATGTATTTAGCTCAACTACTGAGACAGTGGCTTCAAGTGAGGGCAAGAAACCTTCCCTGTCAATTGCATTGACTACTGAAATCAAAAGGAGGTGATCTACCTACACTATCAATGAAAAAGTGAAAGTTCTAGGAGTAATTAGATTTGAGAACTAGTGTAGTGTGGGTCAGGCTGCCTGCAAGTATCCAGTTTATTATTGATGTCATTTAATGTACAGCACAGCACAGCATTGTACAGGTATATGGTTAAATAACAAACTTGAATCATTGGAAATTTTTAAAGATCATTGATTGCTGTACAGCACCATTATTACATGATGTTGATATATTTTAAGGAATTGAAATACAGTAAATTTTATTTAAGAGGTGGTTCAATCTAATTAAGCAACACAAAATCTTTATCCTTTGCTTGAATTAAGTCTAACAGTACAAAATTAATACATCTTTCACTCTGTTTGAACTCTTCATATCCATCACTGGACACTAAGTTGAATTGTCAGGTGAGACTAGCCTCTAATTTCACCCAGTCTCTCATTCTCATATACTGTACCTCATATTCCTCTTGAAGTATCTGTGGCGCTGTCACCCTTTTACAAACTTATGCTGCCGTTCCATCATATTTTTTCTCCTCTTAAACCTACATTATTCATCTTAATAGATGTACTCTCTTAGCCATTCTCATTTTCATCTTTTGAAATACAGATTAGCAGCAAAGCTCCGACTGACTCCTCCAGTAGTGAAACTGGAAGTAGCAGCAATAGCTCAATTGTCAGTCCATCCGGCCCATGTACTTCATCACTATCAACCTCATCAACTATACCTGCAAGCAGTCCAGGATCATCTTCCATGCAGGGAAGTGTTGGTGGAATGCCTGGAGCCACGGCCACCACTCCTACGGCCTCCCCCACCACGACCAGCACCGGTAATGGTAGTGATGGCGAGGACGAGGGGATTGCTGATGCCGACAGTGGTGCCAGTTCATCCAATGTCAACAGTGACCAGAGTGCCAGTGAAGATTCATCACTCACCAGTGATAGTGACAGGTAAATTGATTTTCAAAATATATACAGTACTCAAAAACATCAGAGTAGGTACTGGTTCAGGTAGAAGTACAGTATATTAGAAACAAGAGAAGGCTGCGCTTAAGAGCAATTTGTTGGGTAAATAGGATGCAGAGAATAAGATATGTGAAATTAAGCTGTGAAAGTGAAAGATGTGTTGAGCAGAGGAGGAGGACATCCAGGAAGCAGCAGTGTGTGGGGATGAGAAGAGAGGATTTGAATATGAATGTCTTTGGTATATTCATTCTACAGTTTCCATACACTGTCCAAAAAGATGCAGACTTTTATTGTCATTTGAGGGGAAGGGCACATCTTTCTATAATGTTGGTACAGATACTGACAAAGAATTGTTTATTAATTATCTATACTGTAATGGGTAGTGACGAGTGACTTAGTATCATATTGATGTTCTCTGCTTGACTGATAAAGACAGTGAAAGTTTGCAAAATGGTCACTTTGATATCATCTCATTTGAAGCACTCAGATGGTGTTATAAATTGTGAAAACTTCAGATAATATTTGTCAGTTTCAACCACGAACATCTTGCTTCACACGTCGTCTTATTACAAAACAAAGGGGAAGAGAATTGTGCAGTGGCATGTGGTGTGGTATTCATAACAGTGGAAACCCTGAGTAACAATCCTATAAACTATGCAATTCATCAGCATCCATGTACAATACACCTGATACAGCATCATACTAACTCAGGCAGTCCTTTTACCCTAGATTCATGGAATGTTTACAGATTTTATCATAGTAAATAAATACATAGGTCATGAAACTTCTTACTAGCTGTTAAACCCGTCTCATTCTTCTTACTAATCTTGACATCATGATCAGTCCCGAGTATTTGAATTCTAATTTCAGAACTTTAGTGGGTGACCCGCCAGAGGATAAATTGTCTGATGCAAGTAATTCACCAGACTATAGAAATGTGTCATCTCCAGAGGACAATGGCAGAGAGACAAAGGTAAGTCTCGTAAATATTTTGCTAGTGCATTCATATTCAAGCTACATCTATTGAATTCACCATTTAACTCTCTTGATAGTTTATATTTTTCTATAATTGATATAAATATGCAGTCTGTATGACAATAGTTGTAGGGAGGTGTAAAGTATTCTTTTTTTTTAGAAATTCTTGCTGGATAGTTTGTTGCCTTCTCTTAACCTCACTAACATTTTGATTTGTTTTTCTGAATTTTGTAAGTTTTTTGAAAGATGAAAATAGTTAATGAATGGAAGAGATTATGAAGATCAATTTGTATCTCGAGAATGAAAGCGACGTATGTTTTGACGCGGCAGAATATGTGTGAGCCTTTTATAAAACATGGAATCAGTTCAGTAGTTTAGATTTGGTCCATATAAACCTTGTGCATCTCTGAGAAGATGAGAAAGACTCGGTATTGATTCATCAGCCAGTGACTCTGAAGGCTGTGTTGGAACTATAGTGTAATGAGGGATGGTTAAGTTTAAAACAAGGTTAAATTCAGTTGTTCTGGGTTAGTGTTGAATATATATTGATGTTATATTGACATACTGTAATTTGGAAGAGTCAACTGTAAAGAAGGTTAGGTAGTATATCTTCATTAGGATTTGACATTAATAGAATTGATGAAATAGTTTTAAATAAGATGAAGGAATTGGAGCATATGGATGGAAAGATAAATGAATAATGAAGAAATGAAAGTAATAGAAATTATAAAAATTGGTTGGAGTAAGTAAATGTGTGTGTGTGTTTGTTTGAAATTGTATGAACCATAAATAATTGAGGCAGAGATATTAATCCACTGTGCGGTGTGAAGGTAAGGGTGCTGCTACCAAAGACTTCCTAGAGAGTATATACCGTATACTTCAGTTAAGCATGCAAAGTTTGGATGACATTTAGTTAAGATTTTGATGGTTTGTAGTTACTGCTATTATGGAAATGACCAATTCACTTTTGGTGTTTGTTTTATTACTAATTTAAACTTCTTGGAAACGCAAGATTACTTTATTCTCACAAGACGTACACTTGATAATATTTGAATTTTTATTTGTATGTTTTTGTATATACATTTACCTCGCTACCTAATGATTTGTTTATTTATTTTTTATTGATTTAATAAAGAAAAAATATTCTACTTCCTGTTTTCCTTAAATATTACTGATATGTGTTATGATTAATTAATATATGCACATTAATGATGATGTATCTGTCCTTTTTGCATGTTTATACTATTCATACGAGTGTCAATATCTTCACAAGTCCTTCAGGTGATCCTTGCACTCCTCTGACATTATAATGTACTAATAAATCATGAACCCTAATAGTGTGCACTGGTTGATGAATTCAATATCATTTACTTTTGTCTTTCATAACATCCAGCCCAAGTGGTATCTGACAAACTTCAGGGAGTCGAAACACTTATGTAAAAGTCAGTTATATCTTTTAGTTTATTTCAAATGTACTTGAGTTTCATTCTCCCCAGCTGAGGAAGATATTATACGAGACTCTTGGGTAATTAGAATGATAATTTCTTACACTTTAACACACCTCATTTACCAACTGTTAAGTCTCGGTAAATCGTACGTTATAAGTACCGAGTTGTCTGTGGGCTAAACTGAAGCATCAAGGCAAGAGACATCATGCAGTTTTCTAAAGATTGTGTGATTTAAGTACAGTATCATGTGTTAGGTGCAAGGATCCCCACCAGTCAGCATCTCTGTACATCGTCCAGCATTGTCGGTGAGTTTGTGTGTTACAGTGTTTCTTCCCTCTTTCAGGGAGATGAATCGGGTTGGGGTTTACCTATTTTCCAGGACAACGAGGTAGTCTGGGGAGAGGACGAGAGGGAAACGGAGGTCAAGCGGTATTTCAGAGCAGAATATTTCACAGAAGAGGAGACCAGTCAGAAAAGTAAGCTTTTGGGTTAACATTTGGGTGGGAAGTACAGTACAAGGACAAGTATAATTGGTCTTAACCCATAATATATGCATACTGTACTTCATCTAACTCTGGTGTTTCATCTATTGTGAAACCCTATTCAAAGTATTTCCTATTTCATATTCCTAATAACCATAACTCACCTGACACCTGTCTTATTGTTGTTCCGTTATTATGTTGCTGATGAATTAGGGATGATCAGTCTTGCATTACACTGTATTTGGTTACAACTGTCGTCTTCCTGCAAGTAACCACTTATGGTGTATCGAGGGACCATGAGGTGGACCTAAGCAATATTCCTGCTGCAGTCAGTGTGGTTGGTGTCTATGTTTGTGCTTAAAGGCAAAACACAACATTGTGCTCTTCTTAGTGCATATACAGGATTATAATCCCTGACATTTTGCCTTTAAAACATGCAGCAAGTGTCAGCGCAGTGCCCAGCTTCATGAAACCAAGAAAACAGTTAGTTTGGGTACAAAATTGTAAGTCGTAAGAATCTAACTCTTCTTTTTATTTTATTTCTTTGGGGGAAAAATGAACCGCTTATCATTGTTTTGTTTAAAGCAGCAAACTCTAGGATTGCATCTATAACAATAAGCAAGGACACCTGTAATTGTAATCAACTTTTCCTATCCAAATTATATTTTGCACAGCTCTGCAGGTCTAATGTAAAAGCCTTGCACACTGTTGAAGAGTAACACTTAATAAAAAATATTAAATGAAAGAAAATTGTAAAATAATGCTTGTGAGTTCTCCATTGATTAGATCTGTATAGTAAATATAAAATTTCCGAATATTTTACCTTTAAAATACACTTTCCTTCATCTATCCACTGTACATAGTGTGTAAACATATGACTGTGTGCTCATCAGTCTGTTAATACTTTCTTTATACACAATGACTTGTTCACACATCCTTCCTTCAACACACTACTCTGCTCTTAGGAACACTGCGAAGCTTATTGGTTTTAGCGTCAAAAGGTCAATGGAGAGGATGTGCAGATATAGGTGATGGTGGTGTGTTCTTGCTTAGGTAAATATATAGATGATTACTAATTGGATTTGTATTGATTTTAGTCATATTGTAACTATAACTTAGACTCCAAACCCTTACTAAATGTGTTGCTGAATGTAGATGTTCTGTCTAAGAGTTGTAAGTAGAAACACAGTAATAGACTTCATGTATTGTGAGGTAATTAGAAGTTATTTATGTGTTCATGCAAAGGTTGAAATGGAAAAAGAACAAAATACCTGTCATAATTTTTAATGTTATGTAGCAGGTAGAGGGGTTATTGATATGACTTGCAAGAGACATGCATTAATAACTGTGATTTTTAAATACTCATAATAACCCATGGATCACTTTTTCAGTGTTGAGGGTCTACGTTGATAAAAGAATAACAATCGGTCAGCTCAAGACAGAGATGCAGCAGTGGGTAGGGGTGTCTCATGATCACTTCAAACTCTTCAAAATATACTCCAACAGGTAGGTGTATACTCTCTTGGTTGTATGCTTACACTGAAAGCTACTTGTAAGCCTATTACAGTTTAATTTAGTGATGTTTACAGTGACAGAGAGAGAGAGAGATTCAGTTTTTTGTCTGCAAATACGAATACTGTAAATGTACTCTCTCTCCAAAAAGTGTCTTAAAACGATTTCGTGTGAGACAATATGACACAAATGGACGAAGAATTTTGACAACCCTACTGAGACACCAGGAGTCGCAGTGTTCGTTTTGGAATTCATTGGACCGTTCCTTGAAGATACTTTTTGGAGCGAGTGTACAGTAACTTATTTTCCCTTTATTTGTAGTCATTCATTGATTGTTACTGTTGCAAAAGATGTGATCTTCTATATTACTGCCTTTCCCCAAGGAACCTCAAATTTAGTTTACTCTTATTTCATAAATTCACTAACATTATATTTTTAACAATGCCATCCTTTACAGCCAAGAATTTGAATGTACGAGAATGACAGAAACATTAGCATCATACGGAGACAACACAAGATTAAGTGTCCGGCTAGGAAGAGCGTTGCTACCCGGAGAACAGAGAGGAAAGGTTTACCTGCTGGAGCCAGACAACATTGATGATGTAGGTATTTGGTTGAGTTTCATCACGATAATATAGCTTCCCCCACTGGTTGTCTTGAGCTGATGGTTTAGTCTTTTATGTTTGAGGAGCCCTTTACAAAAATGGTGGTGATGAGTAAAATACATATCATTTGTTGTTTCAGAATATTTTGTCTATCTTTATATGAAGAGAAATATATCAGGGAAGATTTAGTGTTGGAGGAAAAGAAATAAATAAATTGAAAAGAGAAACTGCCTTTAAAAGTTATTAAAGCATAATTTGATTATGAAACCTCTTTAGGGATGCTATTAAAGTGATGTAGTATTTCTCACCAGTCCTTCATCACACAGTACATAATGTAAGAAATACAAATAAAGCTTCTCCTCACCAAAGATACATTCATTGATGTTATGCTCTACTGTTTTTCCAGCCTGCACGATTCCTCATTGACTGGATTGTTTGCAAGGGTGACACAGTTGCCAGCGCAAAGAAGTCCATCATAAAGGAAGTAAATGCTCGATGTAATATGAGCCTCGTCACAGAGAATGTGCGATTAAGAAAGAAGAGTTGGAAGAACCCTCAGACAATATACCTCGACAATCAGAAGTTTGACGATGATATATGTCTCTATTCCAACTGGGAGCTCTTCCTCCAGGTTAGTATAAGTGGTGGCTTGAAATGAGAGTAAAAATAAACACTCCTTTCACTATCCTTCACCCACTCACTTACTGCTATGACAGCTTAACAAATCACCCAACACTACATTGTTTCCTGTCAGGGATTGTGATTATTTTATAACAGGGTAAAGATAAAGGGACTTAGGGAGAACAATATACTGGATAATGGGTAATGAGTTAATTGATTAGATAGGGAGAATAATTCAGTTTATAGGGAGGAATTGTATAGATGACTTGAAAAATAGTAGATGTTACTGTTGTGGAAAAAGTGTGTGTTTGAAGATACTGGTGAGTGTGAGTTAGTGTTTTGAAATTTAGGAACAATACATCAGGATTGTCTTTTTGTTTTTAGGGACAGACGACTAGTGAGTGAAAGTAAAGAGTTTTTGTATGTGGATAATGGCTGAATCATGATAGCAGAGAAGGGACTCTGTCATAGTATTAACCTGGTAAAAATGTAAATTATATTGGTTGGGTGAGGGAAAGTCTGCAGTGAGTAATTTTAAGTAAGAATTAATGTACATCCTGTATACAGTGTATGTATTCAAAAGAGATAGGTATCTTTAGTGTAATATTTGCTTGAATGATAAAACCTGCAAATTGAGACAGCATTTCCCTGATGCAGTTGATGAAAGGAAATAAGATAAAAAGAGATGTACTGAGTCACATTGATTGTTTCCGATACTTGGTGTGGAGGTTTACATATATGAGTATTTCAGGTAATGTTTTGTTGAGTGGAGACATATTGTGTAGAAAGTCGGAGATTATGTTCGTGTTATATAATGACTCAGTCTTCTGATGTTTATCCACTTGTTGAAGTACATGTAGAGACTATAAATCTATTTATTTATTTAACTTTGTTCTTACCATTGTGATTGTCAACAGATTATAGAGGGGCCAGAGAAAAGAACAAGCAGCACTGAGGAGTTAGCAATCTTTGTGAAAAGATGGAAGCCATCGTCTTACACCACTGATCCACTCACAGAGATCATCATATCCAAACCAACTGTTGAAGCCCTTAAGGAAAAGGTGTGACTTAAAGTATTATGTTAAATGAGCAAACATCCTTGACCTCATTTCCTACATTTTGTGGGATACAGCCCAGAAGTGTTAGCTTAAACCAGGGCGCTGACATAGTGAGTGGCCAGCTCAGCTCAGCTCGCCCCACAAACTCCATCCCTGTCTGGCGGTGGGATTGCACCATTGTGTCTTAGATCATGAATCCAAAGAACTAACAAATGAGCTCTGCCAGCTTACCTCCTGTGGTCATAACCGGTTGCCTTAAATTCTGTACACTGTTTTGTGACCCATATACTTTATATATAAATGGTACACTTATTTCAGAAACTAGCATATTTTCCAGCATATAAGACTCGCTTTTTCCCCCGAAAAATGTATCGCAAATTACCCTGCGTCTAATGCGCCCTTATTACGGATGGGAGGCCGAGCGCCGTAGGCGGAGGTGCCTAGCTAGGGAGTTTGGGATGAGCTGTAGTCCACTAAGCACAAAAATTGTGTTACTTATAATACTACTAATAATAAAATACTGAAAAACAAGCCAAATTATCACAATCTATTATCACAAACTTATGGCAAATTTGCCGGAAGACGTAAATAATGGCTAACATTCGCTTAACGGCAGAGGGAAGCTCACAACATCTCACTGTACCTCCTTCCCCAGCATACGTAACCCACACCAAATACATGACTTACATTATTTAACGACTGTGTTACCTTTAAGAAACATTTTTTTATTGTCTAAATGAAAATTGCCCCTAGAAAGATTAAAGAAATGTTAACAGAAAGTTCAGCCGCCAGTCAGCCATTTGCAATGAGTCGATGATGCTAAAACAATAGCGATGGTGCTACACCCTGGTGGCAGATCGTGGCAACACAAAACATCACGGCCCAAAATTTGAGTTTCACATCCTGTCAGTAATCCTCTTGACCAAAATATAAACAAGCCACACAGCTGCTCTGATCAGAGGTAGACTTGGGTTAGTATAATGTTACTACAGTATATATGATTTCCTACTTAATTCCAGTATATATTGTATTTTCCCCTACAAAACCACTTTAAAATCACATTCAATAAATGTATCTTGAATTGTACTAAAAAAAAAAATCCACAAAATATCCTTGTAAAATAGGGGTGCATCTTATGCGTCGGCAAATACGGTAACTTATATACAGATAGTGTATCATTTATTTGTGTCTCCAAACTTTGGAAATCCTGGGAGTAAACATGTTTGTCCATTAATGTAATTACTGTAATGCCCTTTAGAATAGTATAAATTTAACAGATAATTTTATGGTTAAATATCAAACCTTTATCAAGAAATGATTTCTTGTGCCTCTAATTGTTTTTACCATGACACTACACTACATTCATTTGTTTATAATTGCAGCTCACGGAAATATCAGGAATAGAAGCTGAAAACATCGATTTTGCTAAAGGTAAAGGGACATTCCCATGTGACATGTCTGTCATGGACTTAAACAATGACCTTGATTGGACTCCACGCACTGGCCAGTTGGATCAGCGACCATTATACATATTAGATGATGGTGCTATGATGTATTTTAGGTAAGATTTTCGTTTTTGTTAACTTTAATAAGAATAGATTCTTTTATTGCTTCCTTTAGTTATGTTATCATTTTTCATGGCCATTCAGTTTGGGGAACATAGAAGTGCAACCTAAGTGACATCCTTGATAACTCATCATTGTATCACAGCTGGATGATCGTCATACTTGATTCCTAGTGACAGCAAAGTAGTAGTAGTAGTGTGTATGTATGTGTGTGTGGGGCAGGTGTATGCATGTTTATTTTTTGTACATAATTGTATTTACAGTACTTTAAACAAATGGCACTGAATCATGTTAATGTAGCACAAGCAAGTGTCAAAGGAGTTCACTATTCAATATTTTCTATCACTTGTCCAGAGTTATAATCCCTTGGACTGTGCTGTGGCGGTGGTCTTGGCTACACTTGTTGTCTTTGGTTCTTGTATATTAGTCATCCACATTGAAAATTAAATTTATGTATAAATAAATGGATAATTTTTAATCCTCACTTCACATGGTACAGGTACAGGTGTAGGCTAAAATTAAACTTATGAGTTGTTCATGTTATTGAAGGCTAAGTTTTATGTAACTTTATGATAAGAATATGAGGAATAACTGTTATTATATGAAAAGACTGGAATTATTTATATAGATTCATGGCTGGATGGACCAATTATTTTACAAGACTTAACGTGTAAGATATAGCATTAATGTTGTTAAACTGTAGGATCTTTTCAGTCACTAGGAATTTATTTGTGGCTGAATTTATCAACCCCAAAATTTTACTCACTTTTCTTACATTGGCCATTTTCCTCTCTTCATATTTTAGGGATAAGACAGAGAAGCTCAAAGATCTTACGGAGGATGAACGTCGTGAGCTTGTAAACACCGAGAACCGTCGCCTGAACCGTGACCTGCAGTACTCCTGCCCAAGTTCCTCGACTTCAGCCTACAGTACCCTGAGATCCAAAGAAAAAGGCCTCAAGATTTACCTGAACCATGATGACTAAATATTTTCTGAAATACATAGACACTGACAAAATCAAGGGAAATTTTTTTGTGATACTTATGGTGAAAAATTGAACTTTCACTCTCCAAAATCCTTTCATAATGATTATATATATATATATATATATATATATATATATATATATATATATATATATATATATATATATATATATATATATATATATATATATATATATATATATATATATATATATATATATAAAACCTCTCATGGTCATTGCCACTTTATACCAGTGCTTCAAAAAATCACAAGGATTTATAACTTAACACTAGAGTTTACATGTTTTGTCATGTTTAACTAATGTACAGTATTAAGTGCCCCAGGATGAGTTCAGATGTGACAGAGAAGGCATGACTTCTAACCCATATTAATTGACACTATGTGTCTTAAGAATTTGAGCTCAAGAAACTCTTGAATTGAGTTGTATTACTTTATTTAATTAGGAAGAATTAATGATCATAATAAAATCACATGAGTTACTTTTAATTTAACAGTTCATAATGCAATGGAAGACACAAAATGTGTCTACCATGCATAATAAACCCTTCATTGTTGATGGTGATTCACCACTTATATCAGGTAAACCACTTTCATAATGCCAGAGAAACTTTGACAGGTACATTAAAAATGAAAACCATATAAATAAATAGATTTTATCAGTTATTTCATGATCATAATTTACTTAAATGTAAAGTAACAGCTTCAGTATCAAAACATATCCAAACAAGATAGATTTTTCAATACATTTAGAACTCCTTCAAGCCTTTTCTCATTGAACTAGGTTTGTCCATTACAAAACACACACATATTCAGACCCAGCTGTAGCATTGCTTAAAACTTGCCAAAATCATAATATGTTGCCATTGCTTTCACTTTAGCACCATTACAAAAATTAACATGAAAATGTGCAGTGATTTAAGGTACTTGTACTAAGTATGATATCAAGGGGGTAAATAACAATAATAGTTTATTGCAATTTACATCCATAGAAGGAATGAGCGAGAAGAGTTAAATAAGGATGATACAAAGGATACTACTGTACTGTAATAATTACATGGATAATAAAAGCAAAAGGAAAACAAAACAGGAATAGGAATATAATACAATATTATTTATTGTAACAGGAATTTGTTAGACTTACAAGTGTGGCACACATCAATAGACAGGACTAAATACTGTAGTGGATATCCCTTATCCATGGAGATACAGGATCACAAAGTATATTGTTACATAGTGTATTGGCTACAGTCATAGTAATAAATTGTTGTGGATAACTTACCCGGTGCTCTATAAACAAGCTATAAGCTATTGTTAAGGTATTCAGTACATGTATATGATGTGATAGCAATGTGATTATACCCAACATAATTTTGTAAACAGACTGGGAGGTTAAAAACACTAAGGATTTGTAGCCTTGTTTATAACATAAAAAATACTTTTCCAATTTTCATTTGAGGAGTAAAAGTTTTGGTCTTAGAAAAAACATCCCCTTTAAGATAATCTTGTAAAGGTCTAAATAGTTCTTTTGAAAATTTAGTGATATACTGTAATAGGAAGTGCATGAAATATAAATTGCTGGTGAAGAGAACCTGTAAAGATATGTTACATTTACTGGTCAATCAGCACTTATCAGACTGGTTGTTAAAACTCCATCCTTACATCCAGTATTAACTATTAAAACAAGGATGGAAGATTACAAAGGTTTCTCAATATCTTATTTGTCATATGCAATAATTCCATTCATTTAGAATATGAAAACATTGATATTATTTGCACTCCTTTACAGTTTTAAACTTTGAACTGTTGAAATTATTGAATTCATAACTTTATAATCAAAGAAGGAAAGATTATTCACCTTGTGATTAAAAATAATTACGTACAAAGTAAATTTAAATATCTGAACTGTCTATTTACTAACAAATGTACTATTAATATAGACTGAAAAATACTACAAGACAACAGTTGTCATAGAAGTTAGTGATACAGTACTGTAAAAATGCATTATCCTTAATATGAACTGAAGGAAAGTTTGCCTTATTTAAGGTCAAATTCAAGGCCGGTTTTGCATTGTTTCATATTGTCATTTAAGCTCATCACCTCATTGGTGACATGTAAATAGTTGCATGTATTTTGGCATCGTCTTGTGGTTATATGTGCATGTCCCTTGTTTGAATGAGAAAAACAGCTGGAACTGTATTGGTGTTGTGTTGGAACTGTGGGGGTAATGTCGATTACTTGGGGCAGCATTGATGACCGTCGGCCCACCTTGTACATACACCCAGAGTGTGATAGACCTGTCGTCTTATGGAGCAGCAGGCACCTTGTACAGTAAAGGATTTTTTTTTCTGTAAATAGTTGCCAAAGATATAAATCCCATTTTTCAAGACCAAATTGAGTTGGTGTTTTTCACCTTTATGGAAGTACAGTATAATGTGTAAGGGGTCATTCTTAGATGACCCCGCCCGATTGAGCCAATGCCTTGTACCATACTCGTGTTTTCTCATGTTAGTTTGTATATGACCCCCCAATGGTTTCTCCTATTTTAATTAAAGGGGAGATCAACAGGAAGTATTTTTTTTTCTATTACCTACTGAAGATGCCAAGACTACTCTGTTGTGCATCCTTTTATTAATAACTTCATATAATAGTCATGTCTTCAGGAACCCTAGTCTATGTTCACGTATTTGTTGCAAGTTGTCATTTTGTCTTGTATATTTATGTGCATATGTTAACATTTATTTATTATTTCAAATGTTTATCAGTTGGAGAGATGCTCTAAGTGAAGCTTCCTTTAGTTATACAGAATAATTAAAAAGAACTTGATTGAAGAAGTATTTTTATTTGTGTACAGAATAATCCTTAAGATGTGCTCAGTTTGAACAGATAATGACTACAAGTTTATTCATTGTCATATTTGTTTTGTTTATTGACAGTATAAATAATAATGTACAACTAAGTATCTATTTACCCTTTTTATCTAAAGTATTACCAAAAAAAATGTTAATTTTTTTTTACAATTCAGCCAAACTGTGGAAACAAGTTCTCATTTATATATATGTATGCAGTACTGTATATTTTTTGTTTAATAGTTTAGTTATTTAACATGTGCATTTCTGAACTGATCCCATTTCTTTTTCTGTGGTGGTTGGAGCTTAGTGTGGTATATCTCTATTACTGTTCTTAAATCTGGCTCTCTCCTTTGTATTTCCTTTGGTCTGACTTTGCAATAAATATACTTTTATCACATAAACATTGGGTAAGGGTTCCCTAGTCCACTCCCACTTGCACAAAAACTGGAATGCAAGGCGCATGAAACATACTTTGATGTTGGCCACCGTCCCTACAGCTTACTTCAACCGATGTTGGCCGCCATTTAAGGGAAGAGTTAAAGATATAATTCTAGATCGTCATGAACATTTCTGCAAAGCTTGTCACAGCCTCTTGCAGTTGATTTTTGGCCAATATGTCCTTTGAACTGGTCATAAACACTCCCTGTAAAGTGAAACTTCTCCACAATATGTTTGACAATTTTGTTTTGAGGAATTCTTGAATTTGGAAATTTCTTTTCATATTATCTATTAATGTCAACCCTTTATTTTGTGACAAAATTAGTGTAAAATAAATGGCCACTGCTGTAAAAAAAAAATTTCATTGTCAGCAATACAATAGATAAAACTTACGACCATTGTGAAATAAAACCCGAAACAAAGAAAAATCAGTACATTAGTTACAATGTGCCTCATTCCAAAAGGGGCACATCATTGTGGCACACCATGAAAATTTGGTTATCATTATATGTTTCCAGTACTATATCTTTCTTAATATCTGCAGTGTTTTCCACAACAGCTGTATTCATTGAGACTACAGTACACAAAATGCATTTTTTACCAGTACCGGTATATGTTCCTTCACTATTTTCTTTCCTATCCATCACTGGGATCTTGTGTTAATTATCTATTAATCATATACTCTGTAAATAAATCTTATAAGCCTTTTTTTATTGTGATAATATTGGGTGTTACTTAGAAACAACATAAAGGGCATCACCTTGCTAGAATAATGTAGTTATTCAAATAGGCAGAATCACTTCGTATACCTACAGCATTTTCACCTTATTTTCTATCTTATTTTGGCAAGTGATTCACTGATTTAAAAGGTAAAACTTCATTCATGCGTACGTATATAAAAAAGTACTGGGAATAAGTGAGTTGAAATAAATTACTACATGACAAGAAATTAAGTGTTAGTTAGAAACACATTTTGATTTCAAGCACCTGGTTTACTCCATAGAAGTTATTTAATGTCCATGTACTTGCTCTTCAAAAAACATCTTTTGTTTGACATTGTACTCTTGAAACAACACAGAAAAAGTCACTATGTATTGTATTTGTTCTTTTTCTGTACCTCTTGCGATTGTGAACCATTTGAATATGGCATTTTAGGTATTCTTGAGTACTGCAACATACCATTGATGATGTTATACAGATGACCAAGTTTTAACTGTTCTCCTTTGTATTCAACAGAAAATAAACCTACATTGCTAAATTGTTCAAATACAACATGTGTTCAGGGAGGAGTATTAAGTATATATCTAAACATGTTGTTTTGTATAACCTGCATCCAACCATTCAGTTTCATTGTAAGGTACTGTATACTATATCATGATAAACAAGCCCAATAACCACACTACTATAACATGAGCAAGCTTAATACTGTAACCACTATATTATACTGTGAAGAACAAGCATAATCACCACAGTACTATGCTGTGATGAGCAAGTATAATAACACTGATTCAGTGGTGAGACAAGAAATTTCTTTGGTTTTCAAGTCAGAATTCCTTGTGTTCCTGTAGAGGCATTTGGGTTTATTAGCACTTTTACAGAGTATCGTATTCTTGAGGCTATCACCTGATAAATTATGGTCTCAGGTTAGGCTTTGCATGTTAATTCCATTCAATGTAATTTCCACCACCAGATACCTTGAAGGAATCCATTGCCTGTTACTGTCGTTTACAGGCAAACAGGGTGGATTCAGTTTTACCCAAGTGTAATGATGACCTATCAGAAACAAGAGGCCCAAGTGTTGAACTTTGCAAAACTCCTCCACATTATATGCATTTAGTTTCAGATAATGTAAAATCAATATTTATGACTTGTGTCCCATCAGTTAGATCTGATTTAAATCAAAGTACAGTACAGTACAGAATTGTCATTGAAAACAATATGTATTAGTTTTGAAAACAATATATTATGGTTTATAGTCGTCTGTTTTTTTTGTAGATCTAACATAACTACTGTACTGTATAGTGTATACCAGTATAATTAATTACCTTTATCTCATACAAGCTTGATATGGTTATGGAGATGCATTAAACACGTGTCAGTGGGATACTGTAAGATAATTTCAATCCCAATTGAAACTCAACACATTGTGGTCAAAAATATATTCATCAACCTTGCTGATTATACACAATTCTTTCAAAAACCACAAATATACTGTACAATGATACAAAGAACTGACACAGGCCTGTAGTTACCAGCATCAATCTAATTTCCTTTTAATACAAAGGTAAACTAGCCATTTTCAGATCATCAGATGAGCAAGTGGAATGGTATTTCTTTTCTTGTACTGTCTAAACCCGTACATTGTAGCAGCAGTCGCTGGAATGTTTTGTCTCCAAAATGGTACCCGATGGAGATGGTGGATAAATGTCCATTATCTGCAAAAAAAGAAAAACAAAGTTACCCAAATTCTCGCTTTTTCATTTAATTTGTGATTTTCTTAGGTAAGGGAAGTTGTCTTCAATATTATTAACCCTATAGCTACAAAAAGTCAACAGACTGCAAAGTTGCCTAGTAGAAAGCCAAGGAATAATTTCCAATTGCTGACATGACTAAGGTAATAACTACTACACTACTAAACTCTCCTGCAGGTGAACCATAGTTGTGCGGTGTAACAACTCAACATTGTTTATAGTTGATCTTCACTTTTTCATATTTACGTATTATTTCAACATATCTCCAAAAATAAAGTGTTCAGAGCTATCACCTGGGAATACCAACTGCATTTATTTATAATATTTAAATTAATTGGAATATATTGTAAACGTAGCAACAAGACATTAGGTTAAGGTAAGATATCAAGACGACTACATGACCCGTATTCACGCACGAGCTTGGGCTACTTGGACCAGGAGTTGGAGGTGAGTCTTTGAGGTTATTAAATAGTGTTAAATAATTCGTATATCTCTTAGTACCTTAACTACCTCAGGTTCATATTTCAACAGATTGTATTGCATTGCTTGTATGACCCATTGTGATATATGGCAAAACGATTAAGAGCACAGTATACTTGTTAGTAGAATCACATGGTTATATTTGCACTTTTCTAGTAACCAAGTAACTTAATATGATTTTTATATGAGTGAAATTTGAGACCCTCCTCTCACCTTTTTGTAGAATTATAAGGTGCTTTCCATAGAGTAACTTGTGTTATTGCCCTAGTCTAAAATAGCATCTCGTGATAAGGAGCAACTTTAAAACATATTTGGTAATTATTCATGACTAACCTGCCGCCGAAATTGATAGAAAATGATTTTAAAAACACCGAATTTTCACTGTTCTTTTTATAGTGGCCACTGTTGTAGTTTGTGCAAATGTGTTAAAACAATGGTTATTTCTAAAATAAATGTAACATAACCTTTATGGTTATGACAAACAGACCTAACCAATCTCACTAAACAAACCTACCCCCGATATATTAAGCAGAAAGAACTTACGATGATATGGTGTAATTTGAGGCTTTATCTGGACGTGAGATCGTGCGGCTGCATCGGTACTTGTGCAGCCCGGGCAGTGGAGTGAGTTATTGTGTTGGCGGGAAACGTTGAGCCATGGCGTTGAGGAAGTGATGAACAAATTTCTTTCCGGTCTGAAAGCACAGGAATTACCCTAGTGTGGACAGTCTATTGAAAGGAACAATGCTGTAGTCTTTGAACAATTGAAGGGTCTCGTCTTTGCCTCTAAATTCGTAAATTACGTCCATATAAGACTGGTGACAACCTTCACACGTCATGCTGAAAATGAAACTGCCACAAGCCCGAGGAAAAGTACCGCAGCAGAGCTTGGCCTCATTACCGCCGGGAAGACAAATTAGGGCACGCCTATTTTTGGAAGATAAAAGTTTTCTTACCTAAGAAACATACATAAAATGCAGGAACAATGTACTTTGCCCCATTTCTCTTTATGATTTAGATTTTACATTACCGGTAACCATGTGGAAGAGCTTACCTCCGTCTGCCACGTATTCTTTACCATTGCTACAGTCCATAATTTATTGTTCATAAAATAAAAGAAATAAAAATAATCCACCAGATCTAACCTAACCAAAAATATTAGTTACTTATTTTATTCATCTAAAATAGAATAAAAATCTTTTCTGCGAAAAGAGCCATTCCTACAAACTAAACATGGCCCTCATGGCTAGGTCATGTTTGGCCGTCTTCATCTACTCATTTGAAATGTCAAAACTGATGTCTCACAAAACACATTCCTCCTGCATTATTTTTTTTTATACAGGTATGTTTCTCAAGGCAAGAAAGCTAAATAGTTTTGCAAGCCACATTTATGCTGTTCAGTGCTCTTGATACAAGGATTTTGTTTTGCATGCTGTCAGACAATTTTATTTGGCTTAGAGAAAACATCCAACACTGAGAGTTGAATACAGTAGTGGCCATCAGAATGGAGCATTAAGTCAGTTATTCTACGAACTGGACCTATCTTAACCTAATACTTTAAGTTTGGTAGGTTAGGTTGGTTTTGGTGAGTTTGTTCCAGTGTTCGAAGTGGAAAACCAGAAGTGGGGGTTTGCTCACATAAAATGAAGGATCATGCGCAAGTGAGAGTACTGTATGCTTTCCCCTACAGTACCCTCCACTTTGACCACTGATTTACAGTTTTTTTTTTATCAGGGTCTTAGGATGTTGGAACAAATCACTACCAATATTCACAAAAATTGTTGGTTTAAGTGTGTCATGTTCATACTCTTAGTTATGGTTAACTTTCTTTGAAATTTTCATCAAAGGGAGCAAGGAAAAAACATGTTGGCATTTACTTGATGAATACCCGGTAGCAAGTAAATTATGGCAAAATTCATCATTGGTCCAGTATACTGTACTGTAAATCTCATTTTATGATGAATGAAACTGAGTAATGTATACAGTAATTAGTGGTTTGTTCTTGCCAATGTCATACATAGCTTAGTACAGTACAGTACTGTAGTAATTTTAATTTGTCAAAGGTTACTTGTTGCCTTGTAAGTAAATACAGTTGAAAAGATGCGACTTCGCTGAGAAGCTGGGTTGTCTTATACGTATACAAATTGTGATTCTGGGAATGAATTAATCGTCAATCAGATTTAAGGGCAATTTTGTCTTGTCCTTCTGGATCTAAGATTGGCATTTCAGCAAAGTTATGCCAAAGATTTTTGTCTTGTGTATTCTGGGTTTAACCGAGCTGAATGTTAACACAGATTCTAACGAAAAAAGAAGGTTTCACTAACTTAGTATTGTACAGTATAAGAGTATTCATGTGTTTTGTACCAAATGGTGCAGATTGTGTATGATGTAGCATAATACCTGATGACTTATCCATTTTTTTGTCACTGAATAAGTTAATTTCTTCTTTACAGATTCCATATTGTGTGTGTAATGACAGACTGCCAAGGAATTTGAGGTTCTTCATAATCAAAATTCCATTCAAAGATGTTCTTAACCAATATTCTATTAAAGAAGGTTAAATCCAAGTAAGATACAACATTACAAACCTGTAATTTGCTGAAATATTGATTTACTGTACTGTATGCTGAAGTGTATAGCTGTAACATGTAGATCTTGGAAAAGCATCTATTTAGTAACCTTGCTTGAGTTACAGTACTGGGAATTGTCCTACTTCAGTTTTTTTCTTAGTTCTGTATGAATTATAAGCATGTGCCCATTGATTAATTTCGAATATTTATTTATTATTGTTATTTTACTTCAGCAATGGATGGCCATTCTTCTCAAATATGAATAAATTTTATATAAAGAAGTCAGAAGAGTTGATGTTATGTCAAATGTCTCGGCTTTGAACTTGATCATAAACAAACGTGCCATCATAGCATTTAACTTTATAGATGCCTGTTCTTATTGTTTTTATAAAGTTTCTCACTGAGAGTTCCACCTCTTGAATTCTTGCACCTTACTCTAGCTTATATTCATAATCAAATCCTCCTACACTTAACGTCTATATCTCGTGTCTTGATTCATCTTTAGTGCTGACCATCAAAACTGTAAACATTATTAATGCTCGCTTCATCACTATTGTTTCACTGTTCCTCGTAATGTCTTAAATACTGTAGTGTTTTGAAACTTTACCCACCTATAACAGTGCCAGGTAATACAGATAGAACATGGTTAAATTAATAGTTATTAACATTGGTTTGGTCACTCCTGCAAAAATGTTGAATTTCATTTCAATTAAATCTGTTTAGGAAAACAAGTAACTTCTGGTTGATTCCAATAACTTGAACCAAAAGAATCTAATTGACCTGAATCA